GAGGTCAAGCTGGAGTCCTGCAGTGGTTTCTTCAGTGCTTTAAATCCATAGCCCTGTGAAAGCCCCTGGCTAAATGACAGTGCTATGGGGAAAACAGCAGAGGGCTGTAGCCCTTGTGTTAATTGGTGTTTTTTCTGGGTTTGGGATTTTTTAAAAATTAGTCTTTTGCCTGGTTGGAAGGTGCAGTTGAGCAGAGGCTGTGGGAACACCTAGACAGATGTAGGCATCCAGGGAGCTGCACTTCTCATCCTCGGCTGATCTCAAGGGCAAAAGTGGCCTCACCAGATGTTTCCTGTTGCAGCTCAACTGGTGGTTACGTTTTGCAGTCCTGGGGGAAAGAGAAGACGGTGTCTTCAGTGAAATTCTCAGTTTATCTGTGGAGAGGGTATCTCCGAGCTTTAATTTTGCCATCTAGAATAGAAATGACTTGACTACATACCGTGGGATGAACTGTCCAGTAGACGTGCACGCCGTTATTACAGAATCTGGAGAACTATCAGTAGATAAAACGGATGGTGTCATCTCTTGACCTCGCTGAAAATGCCATTAGTGATATTCTGGGCCAGCATTTACTGGGAAATAAACTAGTCATTACACTTTCTGATGAGATTATGCTTTGAATGTCACTTCTCTGACAGTCTGTCTCGTGCCGCGCGGAGATAAGATCTCAGGCACAGATGACAGACAAACTTCAGAAATATTTCCATTGATTTGACAGCCTGGATAATACTTCTGTTAAAAGCCACAAAGGCTGAAACAATGACCTCTTGCCACTGGGTGATACCACGTTGATAAATATACTAATGAGAGATAAAGGAGGTAACTATATTCGAGTGTTTTGTGTAACTTGTCAGTGGAAAGCAGAGGTACCGTTCGAAGGGAAACCAGATAGGGGTCTGAAATTACAGGCACTCTTATCGAAGACAAAAGAGCAGCTCACACTCCCATGTATTTTGAGACACCAGAGGGTTTGGCAGGGAGCTCGGTGGCAGCAAGATCTTCTGTTCATCAACAGGGGTCAGATGGGAGCTGAGGGAAATGGGCAGTGCTTTTTTTTTTTGGCCACATATCGCTGGGCCAGTGGCCGAGGCCATCACTGGGGCTTTGCTTTTAGCATCACTTGAAGGGGACATTGGAGCTGCCATGGAAGGAACCGGTCCCAGCTGCGTGGTTCAACCATCTCCTGCCCGCCTCCTTTGGTTGCACAACCACTGCTCTTGGCATGGGTGGAAAGCTGGACTGGAGAAGTGGCTGGGAAATAAACCCTTTCTGCAAAAAAAGGGAATGAAGGAGAGGACAGGACCATTTCTTTCAATCTGTGCTTAAATTGGGTTAAGCTGGAGACTGAGTCTTGGAGAGCATGGTCCTTGGTGGAGGAGTTGGAGCTCCAGGAGTGTGGGAGGTTTCACTTGCAGGTGCTTCCCACAGTGATGGAAGTGGGAACCCAGAGGAAAACAAAGAGTTAAGTGAGGGAGTGAACTTGCAGCACGTCCACTGCTTTCAATAAATCACAGAATGGTTTGGGTTGGAAGTGACCTTAAAGATCATCCAGTTCCAACCCCCTGCCCTGGGCAGGGACACCTCCCACCAGACCGAGTTGCTCCAAGCCCTGTCCAGATACCCATCTGCGTATTCTTCCCATCTGTTAATTGCAAGGTAAATTATCCTTCTTTCATTGATGGTGCTGATGTGCATGTACCTGAATTACCTCACCTCAAGCCTGTGTAATTCTGCTGTAGGAGGTGACCCGCTGTGAATTGTTACCCCAAAACACATTTCACAGAATCACAGAATCTTGTAGGTTGGAAGGGACCTTAAAGATCATCTTGTCCAACCGTCAACCCAACTGACAAAAATAGACACCCACACAACAAACAAGGAGCATCATCATCACTAAACCATACCTCCCAGCACTGCATCAACCTGTCTTTTGAACACCTCCAGGGATGGTGCCTCAACCACCTCCCTGGGCAGCCCATTCCAATGTTTCAGCCTCTGTGCTTTGAATCACCTCCAGGTTTTGAAGCTTTAACCGTTATCTCACACTGTAAACTCACCCTTTCCCCCACCCGGGGTCTTCTGAGCAACGCTGGGGTTTTATTGCTTGGTTTCTGCCATCCAGCCTTAAGAGAAAGCACCGAACCTGGTCCTCCTTCTACTGCTCCATCACTCAGGTCCTTTCAAACACTTCCCTGGCAGCTGCAAAGCTGATACCAGGCGGCAAAACTTCCAGTGTGGATTATCAGGAATACTGCCGAGGCATTGCTCAATGCATCTGATATCTCAGCCTGGATAACAGAAGCCATACAGCCGAGTTATAAAAAAAAAAGAGAGAGATTGGCAGCTATTGCAGGAATTCAGATAGGGGCACCTTGGTAAAGGAGGGGGGAAATGCGTTTACTTCCATTACAGAGCCCGGGGCTGAGATGGATTCTCTCTCCGTCATTGTCCTAAGCACATTATCCCTGAAAGAAAGAGGGTTTCTCTGAATCTGCAATTTTTCTCGGCTTCAGTGTTATTGAAATGAAACCACTTCAAGGATATCTACATTCTTTACCATCGTATGGATTCTCATCTCATGTAAATTATTTGGCCACTTTTCATTTTAATCCTCCAGTGTCATTTTCGACAAAAGAGATCATTTGGTTTCTTCATTGAAGGTATTCAGCTGACAGCTGCCCTTTGTCTCGAAAGCAGTGTGCCTTTGCAGGATTTACCTCTGCCTGCTCTTTTTCTTTTTTGCTTTTTTCCCCCCTTTAAGTTCATATTGCTTCATATTTTTCATCTGTAGTTTTCAGGAACTTTTCAGATGGTGAACAGACTGTGGTTTGTAGCTGTGAAGGGAAATTCAGACATCCCTCCTTCACTCCCTGTCCCTTAGCAAGGGTAGACCTGACAGACAAGTAACAAAACCGGAGGCAGATTAATTCATTTCCTCCCTGCAAGAACCATAGTCAAAAAATTCAGTGTGTTGACAACTTCTACATGAGCAAACCAAAGCAGTCAATGATGAAATATTGAATTTTTTGCTATGGCTTCCCTATCTTGAAAACTCAGTTATTCTCACCTACTTTCCAGAAATTGTACAGCAAAGGACTACGGAGATGATGAGGGGCCTGGAGCATCTCTCTTACGAGGAGAGGCTGAGGGACTTGGGGCTTTTTAGTCTGGAGAAGAGAAGACTGAGGGGGGATCTGATCAACGCCTATAAATACTTCAAGGGTGGGTGTCAGGAGGATGGGGTCAGGCTTTTTCCAGTGATGCCCAGGGACAGGACAAGAGGAAACGGGCACAAACTGGAATGTAGGAAGTTCCATCTCAACATGAGGAGGAACTTCTTGACTTTGAGGGTGGCAGAGCCCTGGCAGAGGCTGCCCAGAGAGGTGGTGGAGTCTCAAGGTGGTGGAGACCCAAGTCCCTCAGCCTCTCCTCATAAGAGAGGTGTTCTCGTCCCCTCATCATCTTTGTAGTCCTTTGCTGTGCTCTCTCCAGCAGTTCCGTGCCCTTCTTGAACTAGGGGGCCCAGAACTGGACCCAGTGCTCCAGATGGGACCTCCCCAGGGCAGAGCAGAGGGGCAGGATGACCTCCCTCCACCTGCTGGTCACAGTCTTCTTGATGCCCCTCAGGATGCCATTGGCCTTCTTGGCCACAAGGGCACATTGCTGGCTCATGGGCATCCTGTTGTCCACCAGGACTCCCAGGTCCTCAGAGCTGCTCTCCAGAGAAGGTTGGACAGGAATGGTTGCTCTGTGGAACAAAATCCAGGTTTCCATAGAAAGTGTCTCCGCTGGGGCTGATCCACCAGAGGAGAAATATGACCATGGAAAATAATAATTGCTTAAATATGCCTAGATATCCTACTACCAAACGATCTACAATTAAAGGAAATATCTTACTTTCAAATACAGAGCAGCCGTCCAACAGCTGAACCGGCTGCTGATCAAAGCTGATCAAAGAAATCTTAGGATTATTTATTACGGACAATCTGCAGAAAAAAAACTTAGTAGTCCCTGCTTACGGCACGCTTATCAGAGCCCATTGAAGTAAACAGGACTTTTTGTTGTTTTTAATGCAAATCTGATAAGCTCTGTGGAATGTAAATCAGTTCATTAAAATTTGTAAAGCACTTAAACGAAGTAAAAGAGAAAATGGTTTAACTTTTATAGGATGTTTACTGCATATAAAGTGCAATAAAATCACAATTATTCAGAAAAAAAAATACTGTTCAAATATGGGCCGTGCAATATGTTGTTTGGGGTAAGATTTAAAATTTTTAAATTGGGATTTGAAAAAACCAAACTAGTCTGACTTTAGAAATCTTACTTGTAGTAGTGTGTAATTTTGTCTGTACAGTCTTCATACCGTGTGTGTAATAGATACACAAATATGTGTGTGTGTGTGTATATTAACCTAGGGATCAAAATAAATATTGAACAGCTCCTTCGTTTGTAGGACGCTGGTGAAGGTGGAGTTACGTCAGCAAAAAAATAAGTAAATGATAATAAAAAAAAAAGGTAGAAGTGTGGGCTGTGACGTTTTCTGACACGATGCTTCACTGGACAGTCTTAACTCTGATACTCGTGGCTTTGCCTACTTTGTTGCATCTCCCAGTAGAATATTCCGAATGCCGATGTGACTCTGCAAATGCTGAGATAATATTCGTTTATTTGAGGTGTTTTGGAGGTTTTATCCACTTTATATGAGTGCACGCCGACATTACTGTATATAGATTTACATAAAATTTACTGCTTCTGTGTTACCTCTGTAGGAGTGATGCATAAATTAGTAGCTGATGACTTTTAATTGCAGGACGCTGGTGAAGGTGGAGTTACGTCAGTAAATGATAATAAAAAAAAATTAAAAAAAATAGGTAGAACTGTAGGCTGTGACGTTTTCTGACACGACGCTTCGCTTCTCTAACCATTTTGTGATTCTGTTCTATGATTCTATGCTCTGATTTCTGAAAAAAACTTTTTTTTTTTCCTCTCCCCACTTGCAGTTACTTCAATGAGAATCAGTATCCAGACGAGGCAAAGAGAGAAGAAATTGCCAACGCCTGTAACGCCGTTATACAAAAGCCAGGTGAGGAGCTGATCCTGGGGTCCTTTCCAAAGGCAACTGCTATTCCATTTCAATGTCTCCTGCTAAACTCAGCAAACCTCATTTTATGGCTATTACTAACAAATCTAGTGCTCTCAACTAGTGGTAGGTTTCTTCTTGAGCATTCTGGACCTCATGTTGCACCTGGTCTGGTGGGAGGTGTCCCTGCCCACCACAGGGGGTTGGAATTTTAAGGTCCCTTCCAACTCTAACCATTCTGTGATTCTGTGCTCTGATTTCTGAAAAAAACTTCTTTTTTTTTTCCTCTCCCCACTTGCAGTTACTTCAATGAGAATCAGTATCCAGACGAGGCAAAGAGAGAAGAAATTGCCAACGCCTGTAACGCCGTTATACAAAAGCCAGGTGAGGAGCTGATCCTGGGGTCCTTTCCAAAGGCAACTGCTATTCCATTTCAATGTCTCCTGCTAAACTCAGCAAACCTCATTTTATGGCTATTACTAACAAATCTAGTGCTCTCAACTAGTGGTAGGTTTCTTCTTGAGCATTCTGGACCTCATGTTGCTCAGAGCTTGGATGAACATGACAAGTCAATGCCATTTTCAAACCTAAATGCTGATGTCTGCAACTTGAACTCCCATCGTTGGAGATACGGAGTACACGTTGTGCATCTGAACATTTCGTTTATCCAGCTTTGGAAGTGGCATTGCCAAGGAAATAATATCTTTGAAAGGTTTTCATTCTTTACATTCTGTTATCACAAGCACTTAGTACCGATCCGAGAATTTTATTACACTCCACAAAGGTGGGTTTTACTGGTTCCTTTTTACAGATAGGATATCTTCCGTCAACGTCTGCTGCTAAACTCAGCAAAGCTCATTTTATGGCTATTACTAACAAATCTAGTGCTCTCAACTGGTGGTAGATTTCTTCTTGAGCATTCCCTAACTCACGTTGTTCAGAGCTTGGATGAACATGACAAGTCAATGCCATTTTCAAACCTGAGTGCTGATGTCTGCAACTTGAACTCCCATCATTGGATATACGGAGTACACGTTGTGCATCTGAACGTTTCGTTTATCCAGCTTTGGAAGTGGCATTGCCAAGGAAGTAACATGTTTGAAAGGTTTTTATTCTTTACATTCCGTTAGCACAAGCACTCGGTACCAATCTGAGAATTTTATTACACTCCACAAAAGTGGGTTTTACTGGTTCCTTTTTACAGATGGGATATCTTCCAACAAAAGCCAGGTGAGGAGCTGATCCTGGGGTCCTTTCCAAAGGCAACTGCTATTCCATTTCAATGTCTCCTGCTAAACTCAGCAAACCTCATTTTATGGCTATTACTAACAAATCTAGTGCTCTCAACTAGTGGTAGGTTTCTTCTTGAGCATTCTGGACCTCATGTTGCTCAGAGCTTGGATGAACATGACAAGTCAATGCCATTTTCAAACCTAAATGCTGATGTCTGCAACTTGAACTCCCATCGTTGGAGATACGGAGTACACGTTGTGCATCTGAACATTTCGTTTATCCAGCTTTGGAAGTGGCATTGCCAAGGAAATAATATCTTTGAAAGGTTTTCATTCTTTACATTCTGTTATCACAAGCACTTAGTACCGATCCGAGAATTTTATTACACTCCACAAAGGTGGGTTTTACTGGTTCCTTTTTACAGATAGGATATCTTCCGTTCCCAGACTGGGGCTTACTGGAGATTGTACAGCAGGTCCTCAAAGGAGTAAGATCACAGCTTTCCTCTCCTTTAGTTTTCTTTCCCAGACAGGGGTCTCATTAGAATCCGTGTATCAACAGAGGACCTTGTATTTGGGTCAACAGGTTGCATTTTCCCCGTTCCTGGAGAAGTTATCCTTGGGAGAGGAGCATCAATATTCAGTCTAGTATTAGTGGACACACCTGCCTTTGCTTAGTTTTACCAACCAAACATTTACACGGTTTTCAGAACTTGTATTTTGGATATATTTAGGTTTTATATAACCAGAAAAAAAAATTAATATAGAAGAAAGCTTAGGTATGAGTCCCAAACATTGGGGGACAGGATGGCACAGAATTGTAGAGCAATTTAGGCTGGAAGTGACCTCTGGAGATCATCTGGTTGGGCAGGACCAGCTTAGATGAGGTTGCTCAGGGCTTTACCTTGTTCCATTTTTTAGTATCTCCAAAAGCAGGTATTTTCTCACCTCTGTAGAACACTCTCACGGCAAAATACTTTTCCCTAATACCTACTAAAAATATGTATTGTTGCAACTTGTACGTGTTGCCTCTTGTCTTTTCCTTGTGGGAGCAGAACGATCCAGCAGGTAGAGCATCGAGGAGGTTGGGATTTTATTCCTGGCTGAGTTGCTGGTTGGTTTAACAAGGGATTCTCTCCTGTAGCTGGCTGGTGGTTGGTGGGATTTTCTTCATTGGTTTAAGTGTAAAATTCCAGTGATCTGGTTTCCAACATTCCCCCCCTACCTTCTCCCAAAAGATGGCAAGTGTCCTGGCAGGATGGAGAGGGTGTGATGAGAGCTGTGGGAGCAGGGTTGTGGCTGGTGGTGGGGAGGGAAGGAGAGCAGATTGGAGGGGATGACACAAAATGTCTTCATTCATTTTGCTGCTGAAGAAAGCACGTCATTGAACTGTACCCTCACGAGCAGATTGGAGGGGATGACACAAAATGTCTTCATTCATTTTGCTGGTGAAGAAAGCACGTCATTGAAGTTACACCCTCATGGCACACAGCAAGAGAACTAGCCCAAGGGTACGCCATTTGTGGCAGGGCTGCGAATTGAGTTTGAGTTTTTGGGGAATCTCAGTTTTGTGCTTGAACTAGAAAAGCAGCCCTCTATTCTCCCGTGGCTCTGGTTTTGCTTGATTGAAGCTGCAAAGAAATTCCTGTATTTCGGATTTTTAAAAAAAAGAAGAAAGGCTACTTTGTTTTTAGAGAGATATTTGGCATTTATTACCACAGCATCTGGGCGCACAGTACTTCAATTCACATGAAATTCACTTTCTTCTCAGTTATAATAACTTTTCAGTGCTGTCTACAGGGGTTTATCACGTGTAAAGGTCTTATGCTTACCACTGGAACCCGGGGAGTAGTGATGCTGTATTTTTTTTCTTCCTCTGTTTCTTTCATAGGAAAAAAGTTATCGGATTTGGAGCGAGTTACCTCCCTTAAAGTGTACAATTGGTTTGCCAACAGAAGAAAGGAAATCAAGAGAAGAGCCAATATCGGTAATGTATCAGAGAGCCTGCTTTTGAGGTTTAGTGCATGCTCAGGAGAGGTGGGAAGTACGTAAGGTTGTACTAATGAAAATACTAAAGGTCCTGACATTCTTAATAGAAATGAGGTTTTTGAAATTAGTCTCTTGCTCTTCTAGATTTTTTCTGAATCACAGAATGATACAGGGCTGTAAGGGACCTCTGGAGATCATCCAGTCCAACCCCCTGCCAGAGCAGGTCCACCCAGAGCAGGTCCCACAGGAACGTGTCCAGGTGGGGTTTGAATGTCTCCAGAGAAGGAGACTCCACCACCTCTCTGGGCAGCCTCTTCCAGGGCTCTGCCACCCTCACAGGAAAGAAGTTCCTCCTCATGTTGAGATGGAACTTCTTGTGTTCCAGTTTGTGCCCGTTCCCTCTTGTCCTGTCACTGGGCACCACTGATAAAAGCCTGGCCCCATCCTCCTGACACCCACCCTTGAAGTATTTATAGGTGTTGATCAGGTCCCCCCTCAATCTTCTCTTCTCCAGACTAAAAAGACCCAAGTCCCTCAGCCTCTCCTCATAAGGGAGATGCTCCAGGCCCCTCATCATCTTCATAGCCCTCTGCTGTCCCCTCTCCAGCAGTTCCCTGTCCTTCTTGAACTGGGGAGCCCAGAACTGGACCCAGTGCTCCAGATGGGGCCTCCCCAGGGCAGAGCAGAGGGGCAGGATGACCTCCCTCCACCTGCTGGCCAGGGAGTATGGGTAGAATTTAATATGGGTAGAATTTAATTAATTGAATTCTATCATAAATGCAGAAAAATGATGCCATTATGATATTTTACTGGAAGATCAGTTTTAAATACCAAAGTGAGAAGTCTGACGGCAGAAGGAGAATGATATTTCCCTGTGCTCAGGCTCCTTTGGGTATCCAAAATAAAATCTAAAATAAAACCTCAAAATACCTGCACTGGAAATAAGGGAAATTGGGACGATCGCAAGTTCCCAACCTCAGCACGCTGTTTAAATGAGAAGTGGCTGTTGTGAAGAGCTTTTATCTGGTTGTAAGTTTCCTTGTGCCTGTGTTCCACTGAGATGGGCTTGTTTTTTCAGCCAAAACCTGGGGTGTCTTTTTTACTGCTGTCCCTGAGACCCCCCCCAGGGATCTAAGAGCCCACATGAGTTGTTTTACATCTCAGACAGAGCCAGGAGGACCAAAGGTTCTGCAAGGCAACCGCTTGCTCTGCTTACGGCTTTGTTCCTTAGCGCTTTCCGAGGGGTGACAAGTGGCTGGAACAAAGGAATAATTTTTCTTGATGATGGGGATAAAACAAAAGTCACTTCAGAGTTAGCCCAGGAGGTTCTTTGCCTGAGTAGCTGATCGTAAGGAAATCAGAAGTGACTCTGAACTGAGAGAAACAGACCTTCTAAAAAGAATAAACAGAAGATGTTCTAATGAGAATGAGCTCGTGTTAGTGGCCAGGACTCAACGAACTTCTGCACTTTAATATTTTATTATTATTTTTATATATTACATAATATATGCAACCTGCTATATTATTTATATATTTTTTTCTATTTTTTATTTATTTTTAATATGCACTTCTGCATTTTATGCACTTACTTCTAGGTCCTGTGCAGGATTGTGTTTGCCATACACAGACAGAGTTCCATACCTGCTGGTTAACCAGTATTTTTGCAAATGTCAAATATTATGCCCTTTTGCTTCTTTTTGCCATATTTGTAAATACGAAAAAAAATTATTTTTACAGCATTTGATGCGTTACTGAAATTTAACCTACATTTCTTTTTTTAAAAATGAAACCTGTTGAAGGGCAGAGGGGAACAAAGCAAAGTCAGTCCAGGGTGGGTGGAGTTATAGCTGTGTCTCACCTGCACGGGGAGGAGGGTTGGAAGGAGGTGAAAAAGAACCAAATGGAGCTTTAGATGTGTGGATCCTCCTGGAAGATGAAGATATGTGTGTTTTAAAATCCCTTAAGTCCTTTAAAAATTTCTCCATCTACTTTCACACACTCCCTGCCTTCCTCAAGTCCTGCCAGTCCAAACTACGTGGGAGGATCTACAGGGAATGCCTTTGCCACTCCAGTGCAATAGAAATAAAGCTAATTTCTGATAGGACTGGCTGAAAAGCAAGGATTCTTACTCACAAACAAGGCTGTTAGTTGGCAGGGAAGGATTTCAGGCAAGCCAGTGTCTGTATGTGTGCTACCTTCCCAAATACTGGGCAGTGAAGAGGAAGAGGCTAAGAACTAACTCCTTTTTTACAGTTATTCTAACTGTTTTGGGGGGGAGAAAAAAAAAGTAGTTATTTTTAATTACTCTAATGCATCAGATAAATTAGGGATCCATTTGCTTTTTTCGAAGAAGCAGCAATCCTGGAGAGCCATGGAATAGATGTACAGAGTCCGGGAGGTCATTCCAACAGCGACGACGTTGATGGCAATGACTACTCGGAGCAGGTAAGCGCCGGGGGCGAGCGGTGTGGCCCCAAAAGGGAGACCTTCCGTGACACATGGAGAGACCTTCTGCCTCTCCCGAGTCAAATCTCTTCTTTTTGTCTTGATTTGATGTAATTGTCACGGGGAGAGCAGAAGAGCACAGCTCCCCTGCCTTGAATGTGTTGAGTGAGCAACCAGTGTTCACCCACACGGATTTATTGTCGTACAACAGGACGCTTGGCAAGTACGCAACGGGGAGGAGGAGGGAAGATGTTCAGAGGGAGGCAGAGAAGCAGAGAAGGTAGAAGAAGACAGGAGGATCTGCTCCAAACAAGCAAGTTACACCATTCACGCCACACGCAATGTATGAAAAATGTCAGGAGAGTGTTAACCCCCCAAAAAGTGCCCCAGGCAGAACTTGCGCTCTCCTTACCCCCGGCACCGTTCTAGTTACCCACCCTCCAGAAAGGATGTGCAGGTCTTTCACAGTTGCTCCTATTTATCAGGCACTGATATTTACCCTGCAAAACGAGGCGTGGGTGTTCCTCTGGCACCTATTAATTCTTTCTTCAAGAAATGTCTCGTTTTAGCCCCAGCTGCAGATGATACTTCTCGTTCCCCAGGTGGGACCAGCAGCGAGCCCCTGCCCACCACACTTTGTGATCCCTTCTCTCAGCCTTTGCCCAGCCAGACACTGAGCACCCTCCTGGAAGGTGCTGAGCTTCCTCTGCCTGTGGGAACACCTTTCAGGAGCATCTCAGGATCCCTCCCTAAGACACTGACAGACAAAGGGTGAAGGGTGGGGGGGAAAGGATTTAATTAAATAGAATTCTTGACATTTATTTGGCCCCGTACCTGTTCCCATATTGTTCTGCAAGGATGTGCCACTATTTGGATTGTTTACATATTATCTGTCTTTTTTTTTTTTTTTTTTTTTTTTCTTTTCCTTTTAACTCTTGCCTATTCTCTATTTTTCTTGGTTATTTTTAACCCTTGACAGCAACTTCTTTTTTAAATTCTCTAGCAAAAGAATACCCCTTCCCGCACTCTGAGCCCTCACCTACCCTAAAGTTGGTGACCCTTCCTTCACACACCTTCCAGACAGGTATTGCACCCCCTTCCCAATTTTCCTTCAGGTGTCAGTGGTTGGCCAAACCCCCCCCCTATCCCAGGGCTGTGTGTGCTTGGCACCAGTGGACTCCAGCAGTTCACTGGTTTTGATATAATACCCCCCCCCCCTCTCCCAGGGCTGTGTTTGCTTGGCACCAGTGGACTCCAACAGTTCACTGGTTTTGCTATGAGCCATGTTCTGTGCTACACCCGACAGCTGGGGTGGGCAGATCGCTTTTAATTGACTCGTTTGGGGAGAATTAGGTAGGTCTCCCTCTCCAAAAGCTGCTGGTGGAGTGTCCTGGAATGAGTCCCCAGCAGAGTTGGCCATGACCCAGGACGACAGATATCTGGCAGAAGCTCTGCTTCTGATGGGTATTAAGGGCCTTTTTATAGGTCATCGCCAGCAGATCTGGTGGAACCAACTTTGCCAGCCCTAGATGATGAGAGCCTGCCCTGTCACCCTTATAAAATATTTTGGAACTGCTGCTGAGCACAGATAATTCCTCCTCAGGCAGATACAGGACCTGAATACTGAGCTGAAGTCTCACGGAGGCTCCCAAACTAGGGTTTTCTTCTGTGCGTTACCCAAAATTCTCCAAAAAGAGAAATGAATTGGTTATTAAAATTTAAAGATCTTTGTTTAGAGTCCTTAAAAATTCCATTTCTCACGAATCTAGCCGGGCTCCTCCGTGAAGTGTAATTGGGCATTAGCAGCGAAGCAGATTAGATGGCAAGCTCTCCTGATGACCATTTAACATCCCTTAGCTGTTAAAACCATAAATTCTGTTTTCCACAGCAACGCTTAAAGTCCAGTAAACTTTAAAAGTTCATCCAAATACTAATGAAGTGACTAAACCTCCAGAAGTCAGGACTTTGTAAATTTTACCATGGTAAAGAGTATAGAGAGAGCCTTAGACTGTGTGCTCATTACAATATTTGCCCTACGTTTGTTATAAATTAATACCTTCCTTTAAATAATCTCCAAATTTTACCAAATCCTGGCTGTTCTGTCCCCTTTAGCATTTGCCACCTGTCATTTTAATTTAAAAATGCATAATATACATTTTTAAATCTTAACTTTCACAAGTTCATCACTTAAAGGCTGTTGGAAGACTGATAAATGTTTATCATTTCCTTGCCATAAAGTAAAAAAAAAAAATCATAAAAAATGGCAAGATCACAGTGTGGTAACTATTAGTGCCCCGTTTTAAAGAGGGGAAAACACTGTGATTTTTTTTCCCAGTATCCCAGAAGAATTTATTTGGTGGATGGGGTTAGAGATGGGATGTCACTGGTTCTCCTTCCTGTGATTTAAAACCAGGCCCTATTTTGGATGCAGACTGATAAACCTGTGTAGCTGGGAAGTGTCCTCTTACAGCTGAGAGCCTTTAGACAATGAACAGAAAGAAATATAATGGTGTGTAGGTCAGTGGGCTGGAGAACCTGGCAACGTGTTCACCTGGATATTTTAATGATGGCAATTTTAGTTCCCCAAAATCATTGCGCTGTTTGTCTTAACAGTTTAGTAGGTTTCCATCATCTTTTCCCCTAGAAGTCAAGGTTTCTGTAGGATAATGACTGACCAAGGGTTAGTCTGGGTTTGTGTCCTGCTTCTGAGTGAGGTCAATGGTAATTTAGAAGGAAAAAGTATTTTTAAAGAAGAGGACAATTGTAGAATGATTTTATTATAGTAGCATCAAGCTTTTTGAAGTTAGTAGTTTGGAGAGGCTTCCTGAGCCAGGCACTGTGTCCACTTTTGTTTATGGTAGTTTCTGGTAGATTAATTTTTCCTCAGTTTGTCAAACCACCCCACCCCTCCTTTAAAGCCAGTTTTACTTACTCTGATCTAAAAATCAGTGAATCCTCCAACTGAACTGTGATAAGTAAAGCAGCCCTTCCCCTTGCTGCTTTGGAATACGTGACCGTTCCAGCGAGTGCCCTTGCTTATTAGGTCACCAGAAGCCACCAACAGTTGTTCTCTATTTATTAATTATTTTTAATAAACATTTACTATATTGACCATCAGCCATTTCTTTTCCAAACTGCAAAACCTGACTGTATTTCCCCTCTCCTCATAAGGAATCCACCCCGTGCCTCTTCCCCCGGGTTGCTCTTCTCTCTCCTTTTCCTACTTTTTTAAAACAGGATGGCCAGAACTATAAATGCAAAATCTAAGCATGGATTTGTGCAGGGCACAACAATTCCTATCTTAGTTCGGTTTTCTGCCCTGCTTGGCACCAGTGGACTCCAGCAGTTCACTGGTTTTGATATAATCCATGTTCTGTGCTACACCCGACAGCTGGGGTGGGCAGATCGCTTTTAATTGACTCGTTTGGGGAGAATTAGGTAGGTCTCCCTCTCCAAAAGCTGCTGGTGGAGTGTCCTGGAATGAGTCCCCAGCAGAGTTGGCCATGACCCAGGACGACAGATATCTGGCAGAAGCTCTGCTTCTGATGGGTATTAAGGGCCTTTTTATAGGTCATCGCCAGCAGATCTGGTGGAACCAACTTTGCCAGCCCTAGATGATGAGAGCCTGCCCTGTCACCCTTATAAAATATTTTGGAACTGCTGCTGAGCACAGATAATTCCTCCTCAGGCAGATACAGGACCTGAATACTGAGCTGAAGTCTCACGGAGGCTCCCAAACTAGGGTTTTCTTCTGTGCGTTACCCAAAATTCTCCAAAAAGAGAAATGAATTGGTTATTAAAATTTAAAGATCTTTGTTTAGAGTCCTTAAAAATTCCATTTCTCACGAATCTAGCCGGGCTCCTCCGTGAAGTGTAATTGGGCATTAGCAGCGAAGCAGATTAGATGGCAAGCTCTCCTGATGACCATTTAACATCCCTTAGCTGGTAAAACCATAAATTCTGTTTTCCACAGCAACGCTTAAAGTCCAGTAAACTTTAAAAGTTCATCCAAATACTAATGAAGTGACTAAACCTCCAGAAGTCAGGACTTTGTAAATTTTACCATGGTAAAGAGTATAGAGAGAGCCTTAGACTGTGTGCTCATTACAATATTTGCCCTACGTTTGTTATAAATTAATACCTTCCTTTAAATAATCTCCAAATTTTACCAAATCCTGGCTGTTCTGTCCCCTTTAGCATTTGCCACCTGTCATTTTAATTTAAAAATGCCTAATACACATTTTTAAATCTTAATGTTCACAAGTTCATCACTTAAAGGCTGTTGGAAGACTGATAAATGTTTATCATTTCCTTGCCATAAAGTAAAAAAAATCATAAAAAATGGCAAGATCCCAGTGTGGTAACTATTAGTGCCCCGTTTTAAAGAGGGGAAAACACTGTGATTTTTTTTCCCAGTATCCCAGAAGAATTTATTTGGTGGATGGGGTTAGAGATGGGATGTCACTGGTTCTCCTTCCTGTGATTTAAAACCAGGCCCTATTTTGGATGCAGACTGATAAACCTGTGTAGCTGGGAAGTGTCCTCTTACAGCTGAGAGCCTTTAGACAATGAACAGAAAGAAATATAATGGTGTGTAGGTCAGTGGGCTGGAGAACCTGGCAACGTGTTCACCTGGATATTTTAATGATGGCAATTTTAGTTCCCCAAAATCATTGCGCTGTTTGTCTTAACAGTTTAGTAGGTTTCCATCATCTTTTCCCCTAGAAGTCAAGGTTTCTGTAGGATAATGACTGACCAAGGGTTAGTCTGGGTTTGTGTCCTGCTTCTGAGTGAGGTCAATGGTAATTTAGAAGGAAAAAGTATTTTTAAAGAAGAGGACAATTGTAGAATGATTTTATTATAGTAGCATCAAGCTTTTTGAAGTTAGTAGTTTGGAGAGGCTTCCTGAGCCAGGCACTGTGTCCACTTCTGTTTATGGTACTTCTAATTTTCCCTCAGTTTGTCAAACCACCCCACCCCTCCTTTAAAGCCAGTTTTACTTTTGTCTGATCTAAAAATCAGTGAATCCTCCAACTGAACTGTGATAAGTAAAGCAGCCCTTCCCCTTGCTGCTTTGGAATACGTGACCGTTCCAGCGAGTGCCCTTGCTTATGAGGTCACCAGAAGCCACCAACAGTTGTTCTCTATTTATTAATTATTTCTAATAAACATTTACTATATCGACCATCAGCCATTTCTTTTCCAAACTGCAGAACCTGACTGTATTTCCCCTCTCCTCATAAGGAATCCACCCCGTGCCTCTTCCCCCGGGTTGCTCTTCTCTCTCCTTTTCCTACTTTTTTAAAACAGGATGGCCAGAACTATAAATGCAAAATCTAAGCATGGATTTGTGCAGGGCACAACAATTCCTATCTTAGTTCGGTTTTCTGCCCCACCTTTGTGTATCACTTTTATCTTTATAATTTAATATTTTCCTAAAAAATAGTGATTTTCCTCCAAATGCCACCACCCCCCCACCCACCCCATCAAACTTCTCTCTGGACAATTGGCTGCGCCGCTCCTTGGCCTGTTGACCTTTGTCTGCACAGTGAGGGAAATCAGTCCAAAATCCAATTTGTAAACCCCTTTCACTTTCTACCCCTGGAACCAACGTGAAATTCGCTGCCCTTAATCCGTGACTTGAACCCTCTAGTTTTGCCCCCTGCTTTTGTGCTCCTGGAGTAACGACGCTTCTCTCTTCTCCTTCCCCCATGCCCAGGATGACAGCACTAGCCATAGTGACCACCAGGACCCCATTTCACTAGCCGTGGAGATGGCAGCAGTAAACCACACCATCTTGGCACTGGCCCGGCAAGGAGCCAACGAGATCAAGACAGAGGCTCTAGACGACGACTGATACCAAGAAAAGGGGAGGGTCGAAGCGAGAAGTAACTTAGTTTTAGACGTAGCACCTTAGCAGACTTTCCTCGGTCCTTAATATGTGTTCTTACAGTATAACTTTGCAGTTTCTTGTACGTCAGTTAGCTGTTAGGGTCTTGTTCTGTGAAGATGGCATGGTGCCCTCAGCCTTTGCATATACTCTCTCAGTATTAATTCCCAAATGGGCATCAATCAACCAACCAACCAACCAACCAACCAACCTCCCTCTCCCAGCCCCAGTGGCTAGAAAAAAAAAACAAAAAAACAAACAAAAAAAATAATCTTGCTGCTCTGTCTTAGCATTCAAAGTGCTTCCAGGTATTTTAGACAGCCCTCAATTACAAGTCTTAGGCTACACTTAAAAATCTTGGAGATAACCCTTAGAGATGGTGTTTAAACAAAAAAACAAACAACAGACTAGTCTGTACGGTTTTCCTTCTCTAAGACTGAAAGGATGCAAGCTGAGGTAGTGGCCCAGGGTCGATGGACACCAGATCGGGAGTTATCAACAGAGAGTAAAAAGAACACTAGAAACCCCACTTCAGCCTGGGAATAACTGATTTCCAGCTGCAATAAGCCGTGCCTCACTGGTCATACAGTGACTCGATCTACTTCTGGGTGCTGTGCTGAGAATGTCCATTGGAAACACATTCACATATTTGGGTTGATGTTCACATATTCAACACAGACATCCTCCGCTCTCACAACCTGCGTGGCTTAGTGGATAAGTACTGCCTTCTGCCTCTGGGACCATGAGTGAAGCCCAGCCCGGGATCATATGAAAAATGAGCTGAATGTCTAATGGACAACAGTCCACTTCTCAAAAACCACTAGTCATTACTTGGCATGGCTAGCAGTGCCTGCTCAGAAGAGGTCTAGACTCTTATCGATCTGTCATTAACAATTTCACCTCTAATTCTTCCTCTCGCCTTCTCGGGTCCCACCCCCCTTCTCCCCTCCCCACTTTGCCACTTCCAAAAGCAATGTTTTCCAGGAAGGTTATTAAGGTCCTAAAATGGTTGAGTGGATTTTGACACGTCTGTGTAACTAATGCCTACGTCCTGACTAGCCTGAAAGGTTGTTGGAGAACTCTTGCAGCTGACCTTTGCTAGATAATCATCGTAGCATAAATATTCTCCTCGATACGAACTTTTGGGTTTGTTTAAAGGCAGGAGGATCTCTTACCTGAGAAATGGGGTGTGAATGTTTTGTGTTCTCTTTACTCTGTCCTTGTTAAGATGTGAGAAAAGCTATACTGCTACGAGCAATTTAATTAATAATTGGAAGCCATACTGATAATGGATGTGGTAATATTTGTAAAGCGAACCTACTTTAAGTAGCAGAAACTAATGGAATTGTTTTCCTTGATCATATGTAGCACTTTTGTTACTTTTTTCTTAAAGATATTTATATTTGATAAGTCTTTTTTTTATCATTTTGAGAATTCAAAATACCAAACGGCAAACTTGCATTGCAGAGTCACCCTGTGATCACCTTGTCATCTAGTATCTCGGTGATGAACTGTGTGTGCATCTTAAGAAAATTACATCTGCTGGCATTGTGTGGAAATGATCTCCTGGCATCCTGATAAAAATGCTATTGTTGCTGCCGGTAAGAGGAAACATTGCGATGGAAACAGCACGGGAAGTGTTAGAGACGGGCAGGACTGTGTTACATTAACAAAAAAAAAAAACAAAAATTAAAACCCTATGTAGATTTTTGTATAAGGCGATATATAAAAATTTGCATAGCGTTTTTTTTTCTCAACATTCCATTTTTTTACCTTCCCCGTTTAGGTGGGAATAGCTTACAAAGGGGGAAAGCAGCTCAGTCTGAAGGTTCCCTTTTCTCTCCCCTCTGCTTCTCGAGGCGGAGGGGATGAAGGGAAGTTGCTGGTTTTTTGGTTTGTTCTCAGCCCTTCCTCACGCCCGACTGTCAGATGGCCTCCTGGGCTCCTAAAATGTGGCTCCTCAGCAGGTTTTTTAGCCAGCCTCAAACCCCTTCAAAGGCGTAGGCTAACTAGAACATCTTTACATCTGTTAATCTCGTCAAAATTGCTTAGGTAAGTGTGGAGGAGATTTTTGTGCTTTCAGAGGGCACGGAGTTGGCACCTCTTTGTGGCTGTAACTTTGAAGATATATAGGTAGGGCTTGGCCTCGTCTTTCATTTATGGATTTCATTGGAAAATTTATGTGCTTTCCTTAGATATAGATCACTGAAGCAGAATGAAGCCGTCTCTTTTTTTTTTCTTTTTTTTTTTTTCTGTTTTATTGCATTTCTTGAGTAGGCAAATTCATAAGTAGCATCAGGGCAGACTCAGGAAAGAAAGGAATTGGATCAGTGACCGTTGCACCATTGCAGTTATTTTCCTTCATGTGTGTATGAATGTTTTGGTACTAAGGGGTGAAAGGACAGGGAGAGCTTTTATTTCTATTTTTGCACAGCAGAATGATGGAGCAAACTATAGCCTTAGTGGAATTTTACCTACTTATTCATACTACAGTCACACACCGAGCTGACAAGCAGCATCCACGATTTATAGTAAGGAGATTTTAATAATCGATGGCCTCTTTACGTTGGGATTGCCACTGCCATTTGTTCTGGCTGTTTCATTTTTAAAAGAACAGACTCAAACTGTTGGACAGCTGCAATTTTAAAAGAAATATTGCTTACTGTGCCATCTTAAAAAGAAAAGAAAAAAAAAAAAGTCATTGTTTCAAGCATCGCCTTTTTAAAGCAATAGGGAAGAATAAAAATAGTGCTAGGACTTCTGTATCCTGATTATAGGTTCATGTGATGCAGGATCAAAGTAACCCCACTGAAATTGTCTGTCTGTACCATCTAACATGGAATAATCTGGTGTTAATTCTGTTTGTCACTGTCAGGTAGCTGCTGGTCTCATCACGCATCAATATCCTCTCTGAAGGTTAAACCCCTCATGAACAACTGGGGATGGGCAAGTCCTCCTGGTCTGTAGCTTTCTGGTAAATACCAGTTTTCTGCTTTCCCCCATCCATCTTCTCACTAGAGAAAATATGTAACAAGTGACTTAACTGGGGAATCAGACGCTTAGTGCCATGGTGTCAGGTTTTGGGTTGCCCGTGTCTATTTTGGCTTTTCTTTGACCATCGAGAGGTACGAGGAAAGAGTAAGATTTCAGTTGTTATGGGGATGCTCTTGGCAGTCTGTTTCCTTCATTCTCAAAATTCGTAATGAGCAGTTTGCAGCTGGCCAATAATGTTTTGGTTTCACATGAATTAGCGAAACTGGAACAGATGCTGGTGTGATGGGATCAGGAGAAGGGTACGTGATCTAGGAGTAAGTGGAAGAATTGGTGGAGAGCATGTCCTGGAATCTCACCTTTATTCCAGGGGTTTTTCTACAATATGGGAGTCGTCTTTGTCTTTCTGTCTCTGGATTTTCTTGAAAATTAAGTTTTGTAGCATTGCAATTCAGTTGCAATTTGTTATAGCCAATCTGGAATTACTGCGGTTCGTTCTCACGTGGGTTCCCTTGAAGCGGATCTGGTGGCAGACTAGATCTGCCTTTTTGTTCTGTGAATAGAGAAGAAATTATTTAAGATGCTCCTCTTCTGTGATGGGCACAGATTGCTTTTAACTTTGTAGAGTAAGTTCTGGCTGTTATTTTGTCACTCACAAAGTCCTTATACTTGAGTTGTTGTCTCTTACCGTCTTCTTAAAACAACAATTTCTACCTCTACTTCTTTTTTGGGTAATTTGGGGTTTGGTTGCTTTTTTTTTTTTTTCAATTCCCCCTCCTTTTTCCTGAAGGATGAGATCCAGATGTTTGCAGAAGGATTTTGAGATGATAAAAATAAGTCAACATAGCAACGAGTAGACGTGTTGTCCGTTGATGCTCTAGCATTATAGAGACATCTTCTAACTACTCTATAAACACATTTACTGCTGTAGTGTAATCCCATTACTCACGTGTTGGGTGTGAACAAGTTGATAGCAAGTCAGGAGTGCACTCTTGCAGCAATTAAGGAGTCTCATTAGGAAGAGCCTTCAGCAGGTCAAGGCAGAGGATTAGTGCCCTCTGTTCATCACCTGAGGGACCATGTCTGGAGACTGCGTGCGGTGTTGGGCAGGGGTGAGTCCATCCTAGGGTGCTGAGATGAGAGGGTTGGAGCACACGGCGTGTGGGGAGAGTTGCTGAGAGCTGGGGGTTTTCACACTGGCTCTGGTGGCAGCTTCTGTTTTGTTCTTCAGCTGTTTTAATGGGTGGGTTAGGAAGAGCCTTCAGCAGGTCAAGGCAGAGGATTAGTGCCCTCTGTTCATCACCTGAGGGACCATGTCTGGAGACTGCGTGCGGTGTTGGGCAGGGGTGAGTCCATCCTAGGGTGCTGAGATGAGAGGGTTGGAGCACACGGCGTGTGGGGAGAGTTGCTGAGAGCTGGGGGTTTTCACACTGGCTCTGGTGGCAGCTTCTGTTTTGTTCTTCAGCTGTTTTAATGGGTGGGTTAGAGAAGATGGAGCCAGGCTCTTCTCAGAGGTGCATAGCAAAAAGGTGAGGGGCAGTGGGCTCAAATTGTGTTCAGGAAAATCCCAGGTGAATATAAGGAGAAATATTTTCCTATTCAGAGTGGTAGAACAGTGACCCAGAAAAGCAGTGGAAACCCCATCCTTGGGGATATCCAAATCTCAACTGGAACAAGATGTAGAAGGTGGATTCGAGACCTCCAGAGGTCTCTTCTGGCCTAAATTATTCTATGATTCTGTACAAACCTGCTCAGGTTGAGGTGTTTCCTAGTTCTGATCTATACATATTGACTTGTTTAAAGAAATTATCTTAATTTGTTGACTTTTTGTTTTCTCTTTTGCGATTCATAAAAAGTTATTTTTCCTATTCTCCTAATAGAGGGGAGCTTTATTTGCAGGGTCTGGCTCCAGGTTCCAATCAAGCCATAAGTAATAAATTTAATTAATTATTTGCTCTGTTTACACAGTTCTTCAGGGATATTTGAATTATTCTCTTTGTTTCATTGCCTAACATCAAACTGGTAAGTTGTCCATGTTTTTCATAACGTTTGTGCTGTAGATCAGGTTTTGCCTTCATTTGTGGGGGTTTATTGTTGTCTTGCTGCTGTGAGTGCAGGCGAAATATTTCCCGTAGCTGAATGTATTAGAAGAAAAATTGTAGTTAACTTAAGGCCACTGGTGACTACTGTGAAAAGTGAGAAATTTTTGGTTCAGGAAATCATTAATTGGTGATTAGCAGAAGCTGAAAGAGTATGACTGGGAAAGAGTCACATTATACTTGCTTGGATCTTCCTTTTCCTTCCTTAGGTGTTTGTTGTTGGCCACTGCTAGGAAAAAAAGTCCCTGTACTTCACTAGGCAGACTTTGGGTCTGATTTGGATGTTATTTTGAGGAGAAATTGCTGTGGTGTTTGCCAGTGTGGACTGTCAGTGGGGTCAGTTGGACTTCCAGGTGTTAATTTCTGCCTTCAAGGTGCGTAAGGACATGGAGATGAGGTCACCAAGATTGTGAGTTCCCCTCCGTGATGTAACGTTTCTCCTTCACCGTGAGATGCTGCTTGTAAAGAAGTGAAGTGAAAGCATCATTCTGGTTTTGCCCCAGAGGAGCTGAGTCACTGAGACCTGTGGTAGTCGTAACTGTGTTTCGTAAGGAAACAGTTCTAGATAAAGCCAGAAAAATGAGTATAAGAGTTTTCAAAACTCCAAATCGCTGCCCCTAAAGCACTTAGTGCGGATGTTGTTTCCCTGTGTGTCATCTTCAATCAAATGCAAAGCTGGATTCACCCCTTTCTCTGCCAATTGCTCAGATTCAGCGTGAGGTTTTGCCTGTAGTACTGAAAGCTATGCACGTTTGTTAGGAGAAGATTTGTTTTCCCCCTTTATCCCTGGAATTCTGCTTATTTTAGATAACGGTTTTCTTACCAGAAGGTTTATGTTCCTCCTCCCACCCCAGCTACATCATCGTGCAGCCCTCGTTCCCCAGCGTTCATCAGCTTCTTTCAAGTTCATTGGATAATTACCAGCACATTCTAGAGGGTTTTTTGGTCAAAATAAGCTTTTATTTTAGACGAGGCTTCCCACCCAAGTAGCTCTTGCACTCTTTGAAGTTCTTTAACTCGATAATATTATTTTGATCAAAGTCTTAAGCTTGTAGGCAATAATCTGGAGCTTGGTGTAGCTTTTATCATTTGGCAGGAATCTTTGTTGGCAGGATCGGTCTTGAAGAGCGTGTTATCTCTCAGTGACCCAACGTGTTCATTCTTATGAGACAGCTGAAGATTTTTGTGTGTGTGTTAATAGCAGTAGTCAGGGTTGTATCGTCATCCCGGCTAATTGAACCGAGATTTCTGGAGTCGGGGGCGTTTTCACTGTGATTTCTTGGAAGGGAAGGTCTTTGGCCTGACCAAAACGGACTTGATGGTTCCCAAGAAGAGTTGTGGATCCATTTCAAAATAAAACATTCCCCCGTAGGCTTTTTTTTTTTTGTAGCTGGGATATTTACTCAGGATATTGACTGGATTGTTGGCCAACAGGCATTTGTCAAGCTGAAAAACATAGCCCTAAAACCTTCATTTTAGCCTCCGTTACTGTTGTCTAGTTTATGGGGTTTAAACTGTCCAACTAAAGATGTTGCACGTTAATGAAGAAAAAAAAAAAAAAGAGGTATTCTAGAGATGGCAGCTATGAATTAGAATTTAAAATACACAAAAAATTATTTTCTGAGAAATGCATTATAGCTAGAAAAGTGGAGTTGGTGGTTTTGAGGACTGTCAATAAGATGACAGCGTTTTGATGTTGGTTTTTGTCCAGCACACATAAATAAAATCAAATAAATGAAAGTAATGTCAGCGGCACCAGGGAAAGGGAGGTGTATGGAGAAAAAATTCAAACTTTGAAGAGTTATTCATTACTAACCTCGGCCTTAGGTTTTATTGCTTAAAAATACCTGAAATTGTTTGTTCATGCCTCTTTTCATGGAGGCATCAGTTGAAGATGGGTGATGCTGTAGCTGAGACACAATTACAACAATCAGTACAAACTACTCTCTGTTTTGGTTAAGGTTCTTCTTTCACACTCTCTGTATGAAAATCCATATCATACTTTAGCTTGAGCTTGCTGGAAGAAGTAACAAATGGGTTCTGCTCTTTGGAGATACCGAGATCCTCTCTGTAGTGATCGGCGCCGTGTCCAGGTGATAATGTTGACAGATTTACCGTTTCGGGGCGGGGAGGCAAAAATTCACCAAACCTCTTTTAAACGCCCTATTTTCATCGGGCTGATGGAGAAAACGAACTTAATTGGTTTGATTGCTGCAGCCTTGTGCTCTTCCCCATTCTTTCCAGTAAGCTGTGGAGCGCTCGGGCCAAGAGCTTCGAGCGGGAGCGAGCCGAAACCGTTGAACTGGAGTGAACCCTGTAATGGGCCTTTGATGTTTCTGCATGTACAGTGCATCTCTCTCTCAGATGGCTTGGCAGAAGCCTCCCTCGGCCATTTATTCCCTCTTTTTCCCTCCCCTGTTAAATGGAAGCGGGTGTTTTCTGCTGATCAAAACACCCAGCGCGCTCCGGCTAAATCCTTTCAACCGGCAGCCGGGGTAATTGGGATGGGAAGGATAAATGCAGAAGAGCACGGCAGGGAAAAGCGATGGCAGTTCTTTTGAATGACTGGGTGTCCTCCTGACATGTAATTAGCTGCTTTAGAAAGATGTGGATTGGCATGGTCATAATTAAAAGGATTTCTGTCTTTTTCTGTGATTGAAAACAGAAGATCTTCCGCCCCCTTAATTCTCTTTAATACCAGTGTTATTAGTGACACTTGGAACGCAGCTACTTCGTAAACTTAAATAATGACCTGTTCCTAATGGTAACTTAGAGCAGCAGGGACTGAGCCCGGGGTTAGTTTTCTATGCAAAGCTGCTTCTATTCCTTTTGTGCTTTCCCCCCACCCCCAGCTCATGTACATATCGCTTCTCAATGAGTTTTAGAAACAAAAAGGACATTTAGTTGCGTGACGGCATGTTTACAGACTACCCAGGGTTCTGCTTTAGCTCTTTTTGGTTTGTTTTTGAGTTGTAGCATCGAGGAAGATCAGCCATGGTCCAGGACTCTGCTGAATTACTCATCCCGTGTTTTCACCCTGCCCCACAGCTCCGTTGTCCACCCCTTCCAGGAGCAGGGAGTGGAGCTAACTCTCCTGAGCCACTCTACGTTCTCCTTTGCCATGGCTTGGGTTGGAAGCCTTATCACCAGTTGGTGCCAAGAATGTAATGGTGTTGTCCTCGAGCTGGCTGCTGTCTCCTGGTGCGGTGGGACGAGCCAACTCATCTTTGTCTCAAGAAATCTCAAAATAGCCTGTAACTGGACATTGGGCTCGCCATTTGCGACAGGAGAGGGTGTTTGGTGGTGACCTAAAAGAACATCCTAGTCTTTCTCTGGTACGTTGCTAGGTTCTGAAAAAGCATCTGTCATAGGGTGTTACGTGCCTTTTTATTGGGTGTTTTTGTGAGGAGCGTTACCTGTTGACTGGTGTTGAGCACTGCAGAGCCTGTGCTCCCTGTTTGCCCTTAAGCTTCTTGACCATATTTTTCCATAGTGCTGTTCTCCTGCTGTAGTTACTTCTCAGACAGGTTTCTGGAGTTTTTTTGATATGCAAAGATGCCTACAGAGACTCCCAGTCAAGTTTAGGAAAGTTAGCAAGTTCCTAACTCCCAAGAGATTTGCAAAAGAAGTTGGGAACTTCACTTCCCAATTAAATCCTCCGTTATTTTCCAGCTTCTTTGTGCTGAAATACTCGTGTAAATCTCACCCAGTGTCACTGGGGTTCAGAACAGACCTGTGGGTCTGGGGTACTTTGGTTCTTCCAGCGTGGTTACCACTGGTGGGCCACTCACAGGAGCGATGGCAGCAACTTCTCTTCTAGGACATACATTTTTAGACTTTTAACTTGCTGCTGTCACTGCCCTCAATTCAGCTTCCCGTCCTCCTCTCCCCACCCCTTCTCCTTAACTAATTAAAGTCTTCCATGTTATGGCAAGCTGGCATATGTAGCTTAAATAACCCACCTCTATAATTAAGAGGTTGACTTCAGCCTTCTGAGATCTATTTTACATCGTTTGAGATTTAAAAATACATTTCACTTACAAAGTTTATCTGTCAAATCGCTCAAGGAGGGCAAAGAGATAATGAAAGCAAATTATTAATTAATATTTCTCACCCAATTTATTCCATTGAGGATATTAAACATATATTCCATT